ACCAGTCGTGCATTGAGAATGGTGCCTGTGTGTTTGTGTAAACTTCGCTTCCAAGTGCTGCTGCCTACTGACGCAGTTGGCTGTGTATTGGTCACGCGGTTGTCACAGCACGCCCAGTGTTTCAGTGTTACCATGCGTAAAGTGCAATTCCAAGTCAGTACTGTAAAACCTCGAGCGAAGAATCTCCGCGTTAAAGGGCGCCTAGTGATGGTGTGGGGGTGTAGGTCTAGTACTACATGAACCAGACCGCAGTATGAGGCTATCAACGAGCGCTCCCTTAACTCGGCACAAAGTCCTCTTGCTGCTGAACTTGGGTCCGCAAGCATAAATACATCTCCGCCAACCACAAGCTATTCGTAGACTAGTTGTTGTACAACTTATCTGCCTCACTTGCCTTAGCGCTCCTTTCCGCTTCGTGAACGTTTGGGCAACATAAGGCGCGGTTCATCTGGTCTTAGGAATACTGTACTGGCGCACTGGCGATCTGTTCCTAATTGAATAGTACTTATTCGATGTCTGCATGTCCCTTGAAATGTTCCTAGAAATGCCCATTTGTCCCTACAAATCATGTGCTTGCTCGCTGTCCAACGTTTTCCAGAGATAATGTACTTGATGGATCTCTCCCCAGAAATTGCTCTACGTGCATGGTGTTCTTCTGTTTCTATGAATATTAAACTTCTCGTTATTTGTCGTTTCCTCGGAATATCGTACGTGCCTGGTATTCACCTGTTTCTATGAATATTGTACTTGCTTGCTATCCGCTCCCTGTTCTCTTGGTATTGGACGACGTTGTTGGAAGTCGCTCCATACTGTGGAAACCGAAACATATAGTTTTAATACAGGCTAAACGAACGACTGAAGTACAATGTAAAATCGAAGTCCATGTATCTTCTATGGGCTCGAACAGACCAAGGATTTTCATACAAAATAGCTCCAGACCTACGCAGTGAATCATTAGGCTTCTCCTATCAATACTAAAATATGGAAATATATTAAGCCCCGTCATAAAATCAAATTGAAAAGTAAATTCATAGACACGATACAGGATTCACATAACGCCGCCACCTGTACTATAATCTTGGCTTCCGCGTGTGAAACAAGAAGTATGGTGCCGCGCCACAATAAGCCTGGCCCTCGGGTATGAAATGGAAACATGGTACAAATAGCATATGAAGCTGATTAACCGATATGCCATTTGCAATAATACGTGCGTGCTGTAAACGATACGCCGTTGGCTACAATACATGCGTGCTGTGAAGTGAGGAATGAAACTACATCGATGAACCGTACAGGGATACGAGCATCAATGTATACTCAGACCGATACCTGCAACGCCGCAATTGGACCTGTGCGCCTTGGACAAACTAGACAATCTAGTCGTGCAATGTCAGGACTCTTGCTTGTATAAGAGTCTGATTTCAAGCCCCAACGCACTATCAAATTACACGTGGGTTGGTGATGATGAAGGGTTCGAGAACTGGAACGCAAGTTATCCATAGCCACCATCAAATCAGTACATTCGGAGTGCATATCGGTCGATGCAGTGCACACGCAAACACGCCTCACTCTGATGTAATGCAACAAAATCAGACATGCACACGGAATAAAGTAAATGCTAAAGTGCTTATAGCTATCAATAAGTAACACTGCCGGCAACAAAGACAGGCGATCTACGCACATACATTAGGATTTGAATGGTCAAGGTTGAACTTCGTATCGTATTGAGACAGGTAGGACTGATCCCGACCACAGCCACGCGAGCACATGAAGCAACAGCAGCAGCTCAGCAAGACCACAGCCAAGACACCCAGTGCCACAGCGCTCACTTTCCATGCGATATTCCCTGGAACTGCATTGGTATGATCAGGATACAACTCGGTTAAGTGATAGGAGTTCGATAAGATCTTCCCTGGGTTAAAGAACATTAGTAAAGCCATAGCTACTACAAAGATTGCTTCTCAGACAATGTACCTTGGAATTGGATGGGGGAAGAGAATATTACAGACCGAAGAAGCGAAAAAACCAATACATGGTGATGGGTTACTGAATACAGTTGGTGTATTTTGTATAGAGTAGCGGCAGCTCAGCGAGAACACGGCCAGCCTGAGCCCAGTACCGTATCGCTCACTTTCCAAATTGTCCCGAAACTTCATTCAAACCCAACACGTAGCTGCGATATCAGAGGTACTCTCCGGTATCTATTGTTTTGTTCAGTTCTGCGTACAGAATATCAGACCTAGCACCACACACCTTACTTTCCGAGCGGTATGCTCTGGTGCCATATACAGCTAAATTATCGAAAATATACGACAAAATCAGAACAAACGCAGACATGTGATACTCTGACGGATCGTTGCTCTGTGCAGTCAGAAGCATGGGCTCGATAGCCTATCCCTAAGTTGACAAATCATCGCGGCTATCTCGAAACTGATTTTACTGCATTATTTGTGCAAAATAGCACTAAAAAAACAAGGTAGACAATGAAGCACTAATTGGGAAGACACACATGTGTATCCGAAAATAAACGAATTGGAAACGATTGTGGCATAATTCGACCTTGGCAAAAAAAAACACGCCTTAGTAGAGTTGAGGGGCAGTCTCAAAAGTGTGATGACTTTATACAAACACATGCCGTAAGCTGTCGGAGAATTCGAATGCCAGGAACGTTGTGACGAATAACGGGCTACTAGCATCCGCTACATAACATTCGACATACCGAAGCACACGCTGACAAACCATTCAGGACACGCCACCGGATCGTAAGGCCCGTGGATGTTCCCTTTTACGCACTGTGAATAATGTGACATATCAGAGAGAGACTAGAGCTCAATACAATCTCTACCTGAACACAGATATATATATAAGTATATATATATATAA